AAGATTTAGTTCCTCTCCAACACGAAGACACTGGAATGGTGTTAAGCATATATTTTGATACCTTAGAGGAACCACTAATATGGGTTTACTTTATTCAAATGATTGTGGACATCAACTTGTTGGTTTTGCAAATGCAGGATATTGATCTAATCCACACAAAGCTAGATCCCAAACATTATATTTATTCACAAGTGGAAGCACGACAATTTCATGACGTTCAACAAAGCAAACTATACAAGCCATTTCTTCAAACCATGTAGAGATAATAGCGATTCACGAGGCAAGTCGAGAATGTGTTTGACTAAGATCAATGACGCAACACATCCAAAAAGCATGCAGTCTCCAGTTAGAAAAAGAGGTTCCAACAATATCGTATAAAGATAATGCTGCTTATATAGCTCAATTAAAGTGAGGATACATCAAAGGAGACAGAACAAAGCATATTTCACCAAAAAATTTCTTCATCATGATCTTCAACAAAATGGTGAAATTGATGTTCAACAAATCCGTTCAAGTGATAATTTGACAGATTTATTTACCAAGGCATTACTTACTTCAAGTTTTGAGAAGCTTGTTTGCAAGATCGGGATGCACAAACTCAGAGATATTAAATAATGTCATCATTAGGGGAGTGAAATAAGTGCTGCGCACTTTTTTCCTTCACCATGGTTTTATCCCATTGGCTTTTCCTGGTATGGTTTTTAATGAGGCAACTTCTAATACATATTTCTTTTTGATAGAATTATTGGACATCCAAGAGGGAGTGTTATAAATAATTTAAATGTTGGCTGTCCAATCCGTTATATAATCGTTATGACCATTACAGACGTTATGACTGTTAGAGATGTTATGACTGTTGGAGACGTTATGACCATTAGAGAAGTAATTGTAGTTATTATGTCTTTCATGTTTTCTGAGCCTATAAATAGGGCATGTATAAAGCATCATGGTAGTACTACAATATACAACAAGAATTCATTCCTTTGTTTCTCTTATCTCTATAATCTTCTTCTAGTTATTATTAATTTCACAATAATTTGTACATTATTGTTTTTTTTTATAAATCATATACATTCTCTATGGGAGTGTTATGGACTTGCATAAGGCCCATTGATAAACCCTTGGTTTACCATGTTTTTAGGCTTAATTATGTTTGAAATATATCATGAATTGCATGAAAATTAGGGTTTTATACTGTAAAGTCACAATAATTGAATAGCATGCTAACATGTTGTCATAATTCTGATTTCAAGGGCTTTTGACACCTATTATGGTCTTTTGGAACCAAAAGAAGACATCAAGTTAAGTTAAAGCCACAAGAAAGCAAGATTCCAAGGGTGTACCAGCTGAAGGAGAACGTTTTGGCGTCCACAAAGCACATTTAAACGCACAAAAGAAAGAAAACAACCATAACTCCCTGGAAGATAGTGTTTTGGCGGCCAAACAACATGCCAAAACGCTCTTAAAGCAACCAAAAATCTTCGAAGAGGACGTTTTGGCGCTCAGAAGCACGCCAAAACGCTTGGAGACAAACAAGAATACATTGTAAGAACATTTTAGCGCACAAACAGCACGCTAAAACGTCCATGAACGGCCAAAGCTAACTCCAGGAAAAGATTTGATCAAGATATGCAGCGGATTCTATAAAGATACAAAGAGAAAACACACAACCTTGATTGAGATAAGATATAAATCCAATAGGAAGATGTGATGGAAGATCACAACGAGGATTCAAAGCTCAAAATCGTCAACCAATCTCCAAGATATCAAATGAAAAAAGGAAACAAAGATGAAATTCAATCACAAATCTGATACGAATTCATTGGGAGATTTAATAACGAATACAACTCTTATGGTTATAAATAAGGAGCTGGGAATCATACCAAAACAACCAATTCATACACACCCATTCATACATTCAAGTCACAGAGGAGGAATCTTGTTGCGGAGCGCTAGAACACTAAGGAACCAAGTCAACATCACACCAATGGAGGCTTGGGGTTCTCTTTTCTTTATTGTTGTTTTTCAATTCCGTATGCTAGAGTAGTTTTTTATGTAGTTAAGGGTAGATGGAATCCAATTGAATCGTTATATTTATGAATTAAATTGTCTCCGACTTTTGTTCTTTTTATAATTGAATAAATTATCTGTCTTTATTGCTTTCTATGAGTTTGTTCCTTATAGAATGATTTTGGGGAATTGAATGACAATAGGGATGTTGGTGCATGAACCCTAACTTGATAATTTATCATAATCCTTGTGATCTAGGAATAGGCATAGGATAATTATGCAATCTTGTAATTCTTGATCTTAATGCATGTTTTCTTGGGGAATAATTGGGGAACTAAAGTTCTTTCAAGATTACATAGATTTATGGTAACAAGGAATTGAACCGTAATTAACTTAGATAGAATTGATTGGCAATATATTAAGAAACTGATTCTTAGCTATTTAGTTCATAACATATTGAGGATATTGTGAGAAGTCGAAACCTTAACTACGCTTGTTTTAAATTCTTAATCAAACATCATCTTCATTCATTCTTTATTGCATGCTTTTACTTGTTTATAATTTTAAGTTCTTTGAAAACCATTCTCTCAAACCCAACTTTTGATTGTCCAACTAAGACGCGATTGGCGAACTAGTGCTTGAAGATTCTAATCCTCGTGGGAACGATCTCGTACTCCGGTACACTTTATTACTTTACGACCGGTGCACTTGTTGAGTCGCAACACCCATGTTCAGATGGCCCACCAAAGGTAACTATTTGACAGCTAAGCAACAAGTAGCGGGAGGTCCAGGTTATTCAAACCCTAAAGGTAAACTCTATAAATAGGAGATAAAGAGCACATGTATGAACTAATCTCTCTCTATTGATTATTATGCAATCAATGTGCACACACCACCCCCTTTGGCTAAGGCCTTACAATTATTACGGTGATTTGCTACCCCCAAGGTATCTCATTAATAAATACCTAGAGAGAGCACATAATCAGTGGCGGATCCAGGAAATTAATGAAGGATGGGCACTTAATATATAAGTTCAAGTACATATAGATCTGAGTTTGATCTAGAACGTGGCAACAGGGACAAGAGCATCTCTAGCGGAGACAATAGTCCTGGCTTTGGCAGGTATTTTCTTCCGAGAACATTTATTGAAAAAATACGGGGTTGAAGATTCAGAGGAGGTTTTCAGATTGTTCATGGGAAAACAGAAATTCGAATTTGGTAACAGGAAAAAAAAAATTCGAGTCAGACAAATTGAACAATACGATGTGGAAGATTTAATGAAAATAGGTTTCTGGATCAGAAATGCTCTGATACCATGTCAAAATAATGGTGCCATATTATGAATATTTCTGCTTGTTTATTCTTCCTCTACTGGGATAATTATACACATAAATGAAGACTCTAAGTCCATTACAAATTACCTGTCAATCAGCTATAAATACAGAAATGAAATAACCTATTACTATTTCTATTTAATACAAAACTCCTATGATTATGTCAATCAACTGCAAATAAGAAAATTGATCTATTTAATACAAATCTCCTATAATTATATAATTGCGTAATCAATGATTAAAATTCCAACAACTGTACAACTCAATAAATATTATCTCATTTCAACAATGTTGGTTAAACTCTAGCCCTACAGACAACATTTGTTGAGACAAAGATAGAATCAGAAGCTTGCAAAATGCTTCTTTGGGTCATTTTTAGTGGAACGTGTTCTCAGCCCTATAGCTTATAGATTGAAGCTTCCTGATAGGTGTCAAATCTATCCTTGATATTTTTTAGAATAGACCTATTCAGCATATCCGTTGGTTGTTGCGTGTGGGGGATAAAGAGCAGAAGCAATGGTTGGTCTGTTTCTACAGGAAAAAAAATTATTTGTGACGAAAATTTTTATCTTAAATTTTGTCACAAATGATAACTTTCGACACAACTAATCAAATTTCACAAATACACTTGTAACAGGAATTTGTGACGGGATTTTCTTGCGACGCAAAAATTTGTGACGGAATTTAATAAAATTTATTGCTAATAAGATTTTTATGCATCTTGGGAGATGGAGGTTGATTTGAGATGTCATTAATATCCGGGATTGGACCTTGAGGTCAAGGTCCTTTTAGAAGGGGGAAGGAATGTTACAATGCGAAGGCCTAAGAGGACAACAGAAGCTCCAAGTTGGATGAAAGACTATATGTCGTAGCATTGTTTAGTAGTCAATTGGTTGTCGGTAGTGTGGAGTTAAGTGGCAAGTCATAGTGTAATTGTAAAGTGAGGTGTCTAATATTGTTGGGCTGTTAGGAAACTTACCTTATCTCACAAATTGTATAAAAAGAGAAATACGAAACCCATTTTTCAGTTCTTTTCTCTCTTGTTCCTTCCACGGAGCCTCTAGGCTCTATCAGTTCACTAATCATTAGTAGTGAAAAATTATAATTGTAATAACTATTAGTTTATTACCTCACCACAACTATTAGCAATTTTTAATGGTATACAGCAAGAATTTGAAAACATTTAAAAAAATAACCATTTTAGTGATTAAACTCTTTCTCAAGAGAAGTGGATCTCTTTTGGTGATATTTATTTACTGTCTTTGCCCTAATATATGACTTTCACTATTACAAACTTCACATTTTTCACACAACAGTGAAAATATACGAAAATTAAGATAATTGAGTATAATTGAGTAATAGAATACATGATTAAGATTGATAGTTGAAGTTTATTGATTGATTGAAGCAAAGCACAATTCTCACTCGACATGCATGCACACTGAAGTCATGCTTGATTTTCAAGTACAAACCAGGCTACTACATTACAACTTGAACACACTGCACGAGACTAATATAGAAACCACACTGTCACACGCGCACACACACACACACACACAAAATATCTGTTCAAGGCTAATGAAACCACATCATAGATTTCAACACTTGCATGAAGCTAAAAGCTTAGTATGTGATGAAGTTGAAGGTATCATGATATCAGATGCGGCAAGAGGCGCATGTGCAACCTGGTGCACATTTGCAAGCAGTGCCAGCAGCAACGTTATCAGCACATTCGCATGGGTTGCACCCACAATGCTCTCCGCATGAGCATGTCGTGTGACCACTCCCACCTCTCGCAGCTTCACTGCTTCTGCACCTGTGAGTTGTACCAATAGTTACCATATATTTCAAATCCTTACCATATATATTTAGTTCTTCAAATTATTATATTTTGGTAAAATCAAATAATTTCTAGTAATTTTATTTTTATTTTGGTAGACTTCTAGTAATTTTTTAAAATTGTAATATTTTAGTAAATGAGGGCATACCTAAAAGAGTGATAAAATTAATCTTTTTGTGATCGGATGAAGTTTAATCTCATCCCTTAGTTGAAGATTAATGGAAACTATTTTTTTTTTTTTTTTTACTATTTTGATAAAAGAAAAAGTGTGTGTATTTTAAATGACTCAAATTATGTCATTTATAAATTATTTTATTTTTATAAGTAAAACTTGCACCTCTTTGTTGAGTCATTTAGAATGACACACCCCGATAAATGTCCCAATTATGCAAAAAATTTATTATCATTTTTTTAGGAAAAATAATAAAATCTCAATATCAGAAAAAAGAAAATTTCTGAAAGACACCTTTATCATTAATATTTCATTAGTTGTCATCCAAAACCAACGCATATATGATATGGGTATCTCTCTGAATTTCAGAGGAGAATATTAAAAAAAAAACTTCTCAAATTTGTGATCGATAATATATAAAACTTAGAATCAAGTCATTTTTATCAAAAGAAAATATCTTCTTTCTAAAAAAACAAAAACAAAACAAATCAAAAAAATTGTGTAAAGAATCCTCAAAATTAAGAGAAGCAGTAAGCAGAAAAGCAATTAAGGAACTGATATGGTTAATACAATAACATGCAGGGTTAATTTGTTGAAATTAGGAACATGAAAAAGAGACCTGCAAGTGGAACCACCAGCACATGGAATAGTGCAGCCACACCTATCATCACATACTACCCTACTTCTCAATACATCTCCTCTACCTGTATCTGCCATTTCTTAATTATCTCTTTTTCTTAAGTCTCAAATGCTTCTTTGTGCTTTGAGATTTTTCTATGTATGTTGCGTTTTATATATATCTAGCCTAGGTGTAAACAAGATGCCAAATGTCATCCTCACGTTTTACGTGGCAACAACTTAACATGCAATTCCTGAGCTGAAACCACGTATAACATAGAAGAAACTTTCGATTAGGATCAGTCTAGCTCTTGAATCGGCACACGTCCTAAACTGAATGTTATAGAAGAATAATGTATCCTCTGACTAATTCTTCTCCATGGTGAGCTTTTGCTACGAAGTACCGACACATTAAAAAATTTAACATATGGTGTTTGACATTTTTCGATACCCTAATACATATTGTAGAGACTCAAAAAAAGATTTAAAGATTGCGTTGTATTGCATTTTTAGTTCCAACTATTAAATTTATTAGGTTATAATTATCATTTTATTGACTTTAATATAAATATTTGTGTTATTTTAAGTTTCTTTGTAAAATTAATGAATATTATAAGTTTAACTTATTTTTTTTGTTAAATTATTAAATATTAAATATTTTATACACTACATAAATTTAAAATGTTTTTAATATCAAAATATATCCTAATATATCGAAATCTAACAATTTTAAATTAATATATTGGAATATCGTATCCTATATCTCGTATCGGTGTCGGGGTAACATAACTATGGAGTGAATCACATCTAAAGCCTCGCTCAAAAGGAATAATCAGAATGATGAAATAAATTTTTTGACATTTTCAGTTAAATCTGATGATGCTTGATTTATGGGATTAATGTTTCTTATGTTGTAAGAAATAAAATTTATCTCTTACATACATAATAATGTGTGGGACTATGGGATCTATATTTTCTTTTTCTCTCCTTTCTTCTCAAATGGCCCTATATGAATCGTATATACTTATGTGTGTATAGAAGATAAAATTATCTTATACAAGAAATATTAATCACTTAATATATTCGTGACTTTCTTGTAAAATGTTTCAGCTCTGTTTTAATGCTTTGAATGATCAATGATAACTTCCAAGTGTTTATAAATCTAGGTTACTGTTAACCAAAATGAATTGATAAACTTGTAAAACTCTAGAGTGAACAAGCAAGAATACACTACCAAGGCGTTTGGTTCACGGTTTTTTAGAAGTTAGCCATAAATCTCAATGTGTCAATTTTGGACTTACTTGTTTGGTTGAAGTTTTTAAAAAATTTAGCTATGCATCCATTTTGCCTAGCCATCTACTTTTGTGTGAAAAATTAGGGGGAAAATACTGTCGAAAATACCTCTTCCAAGGTGGTGTTTTCAAGTTGCCTAGGCTAATGGGAGAATGGATGCCAAAAATACCTTCTTCTATTAGACAATAGTATTTGCTACAAAGATTATTTTGTAATTTGAAGTTATTTTCCCATTTATATTTTACCTCAAACCAAACATAGACTTTATAAATCTTACTTAATTTGTCCGGTAAAATTTTTTCTAACAAATAACTTTTTTTACATTTTCTTACCAAACTCATTTTCCAACCATTTCCCTATCAATTACATTTCTTTAGTATTCAAAAAATCTCTCACGTCCCCTACGTGAAGATGAAAAATATCCATCCCTACAATGAAAGAGAATTCTCTTGAGCTTGGGCTATGGCCACCAGAGTTTTGACATTCATAACACAGTACTGTTTGGATTCCCCTACACCCCAAAACTATATTATCAAGAGGAATCTTTAGATTTTCCATTGTTGAATTTGTTTCTTTCACTTTAGCTTTTGACTCCAACATCGGGATAATGACTATTGATTTGTTGGTTTGCATTTTGATTTTTTTTTTTTTTTTTTTTTGGGGGGGGGGGGGGGGGGGGAGGGTAGTTGGTTTGTATTGTTTTACTTAATGAGACCGAAGTCTCAACATTTTCTAGGATGCATTTAAGTTCCAATTGTACTACAATTAAAATGAAGGGAAAGTTATCCCATGGATTTCACTCATACAGCAACTAACTTGTACTAGTTATGCAGTTCACTGCTATTTCTGAACTTTTGAAAAACTCTGATAGAAAGTCATGTGCAAATGAATCAACTATTTATTTTTATTTTTTATTTTTCTTTTAAATCAACAGGTGTATGAAACCCTAACATTCAACTAATTCGATTTCAGGTTTGATTATCTTTACTTTTCCCAGAGTTGTGACTAATCCACTACAATATTAAGGGATTAAAAACAACTATGGTATCATGAATCAATTATTTAGATTTAACTGTAAAAGTTAGTCTTTAATTAATTAAAGTAGAAAATGAAATTATTTTCTATACATACATAAAAATATATAAGACTCATATAGAGCTATATAAAAAAAAAAAAAAAAGAGAAAAAAATAAAAAATATAGATCTTATACACTTTTATAAATATATAGGAAATAAAATTTTCCTCTATAACATCAAAAATACTAATATCTTTTAATATTGGCAAAAGCTGGTTGGGGTCTTTTTGCAAAACATATATCTCATAAGGGGTAAATTATAATTTCATCTTAAAAGATATTAGCACTCATTCATAAAGTTGAATATTTAAAACAGTATATAAATTGTTATTATATTACAAAAAAAATAATAAAGAGAAACGTGATTGTCATATTACATGATATATTTTGGTATAATGTCCGACACAAAAAGGTGTGGTAGGGATGTAAATAAGTTAAATTTTGGCTTAATAATTTAGGTTTGTGTAAAATATTTTAAGTTTAATCTGACTTGTTAACTTCATATAAACTCAAATTATAAATCTGATTTGATGTATATTTAAAAAATAAGAATTTTGACTTATATAATCCCAAATTATAAGCACGAAGTCGTACAAGTCGATGGACTCAATGTGCTTCAAGTGTCGTACAAAAGAAGAGACGTTGAACTGTGACTTAGCTAAAAGGGTTTGGCGTGCTTTCCTGCCTACTAGGCAGCAGCATTTCAATTATATAGGAACTTGCCAGAGTTTAATTTCCCCGGCCACTGGTTGAGAGTGTACTAAAAAAAAATCTAATACCTAAATAAATAAATAATAATAATAACGGTTGGTCATCAATTAAAGACCATTAAATATTTTTTTAAGTAGCCTGCAATTAATATAGTTTTTTAAGAATATTAAACCCTCGATTTGGTCATCTAAATTTTAGAATATTATCACATAACAGATTTTTGTAAACAAATTATTCCTTCACAGAATAAAGTGTCATAATATTAGTCATTCAAATATATTTTTTCACATTTACAAAAAAAAAAAAATATTTTTTCACTAAATTAGTCCTTCATATGAATAAATTTAATAACAATTTTATGTCTTAATAGACAATTAAGAAAAGAAAATTAAAGCGAACATCTGAAAATTAACTTTCTTTTTCTCTCCACCATTGCTTTTATTGCTTTTGTGGATAAAGAGTGCATTCTCCAACTCCAATTTTAGTGGGATGAACATGAAATGGGGAAGTTAGAATAAATAAAAGCAGTACATGAAAAAAGTTTTTAAATCTTTTTTTTTTTAATTAAAAATTGCTTTAAATTTTAACATTGTGTTTTGTCTTTTCTTTTCAATTTCAAATAACCATTTCTTGCTGTGTCAGAACAATAAATTCAAATCACACTTACTATCTGACACGTTATGGTTATCTCATACAAGAATTACACTGGACTCATTTCGACATCACAAAATGATATATCCGAGCTCTATAAAATAAGACAAAAAAAAATTCTTAAAACGTTTACACACTATTCTTCAATAAAGATTATATTTAAAACCCAACTATAAAAATTTGAAGGAAAAAAAAAATATATTGCTACTATCAAATAATATTGCTACTACCAATATCACTATCATATCTTAACCGTTGATTTCCTTCGATCAATAATTATTATTTTCACAAATCAAACTAATTAATTATTAATTCACAATAAATAATAACCGTTAATTGACAAAAGTCACGGTTAAAATACGATAATAATATTGGTAGTAATATTATTTGTTAATAACAATATCTAATCGCTAAAAAAATATACTAAAGTATAATACACATGTCCTACTCAAATAACTCAAGTGATTGTGCTGCAATTGCTCCTTTCTTTCTCGCGAGCCAAGACATAATTTTCCAATTTGCCATGCTTGGGTTTTCGTTCCTTCCCTATTTCTAAACAAGAAAAACCAATCTTCATTAACTCTCAAGCCAACTTCCCTCTTATTCTCTCTCAATGCACTCGATGGGTAAAAGGCTGAGAAACAGACAACAAATGATACGATTTTTCTGGAAAGATGTAGTCATTTGAAAACTTATCGCATTTTGTTTAATACGTGCTATTTTGAAGAGCCCATACTTCCAAGCCTATGATTTCAAAGTTTTTCAGGATTATTTCGTATAAAAAATAGTTAGTTTCCCATTAACAAATAAATATTTTGACAATTTTTAATTATTTTAGAAATTTTCTACATAACTATTAACTCAATCCAAACAAGATATTTTTTGGATATCTCAAAATAGCTGATTATGCGCATATAAAACCAAGTTTTTAATTTTCTCTTCTCTTTATTAATCTAATCCAAACACTCAAAGCTTGTCATATATTCTATTTCCACCCTGTGAAATGTACTAGTGGTTCTTGTACAAACCATTAGAGTAAATCGGGAAAAGATTTAATTAAGTCAATTATGCTAACACTCCATACTAAATACGAAATGAATGTCTACCACTTTTTCAAAAGTCTACAAAGGATACAACGAAAGATCAAATCCCAGAAAAACAGGGACTCAAACTTCCAATCTTCGCAAATAAAGATTGGATGACGTTTAGATTTTGTTGCCAATATCTCCGAGTTCAGAACCATCGGTATCTGGTTTCTGCACGTCAAATAGAAGTTTCGTGTTAACAAAGGCTCCACAAAGAAACAAAAACACACTTCTTGATTTTACCCCCACTGATCACAACTGCAGCAAAAAGCTAAACTAAATTGGTAATTAATTTTAGAGATGGAACATTCTAGAGAAACAATGATGTCAAACTCACATTTTTGCTATTAGGAACCAATCTTTGTCAACTTGAACATATTTCCATAAAATGTCGCCTGCTTTTTATTATACTCCTTCACCTTTTCCCTCAAAGTCCTGTACTCCAGCTTGACATCCCTGGTTTATGCAACGAGAACAATTACAATTCAACTTACCACAAGAATCAAGCAATAAGAAAGTAAATTGCCCATTATTAAAGCAATTTTACTCGGTACGTAATATTAGAACCACATTCAAAGAAAACCCACACATAAAAGGTTAAAAACAGCATTTTATCCAGAGCAAATACCTGTTGTCAGGGTCAAGCTCAAGAGCTTTCTTAATGTCGAATTCAGCCAAATCCAAGTCGGTCAACTCCATATATGCCTGGGCCCTTCTATAGAGTGCTTTCACGTTTGTACTCTCAAGATCCAACACCTACCAATTCAAATAAAAAATCATTATTTCTTATGTAAAAGAAAATTAGTGATTTCTATAAAAGATGAGAGACAACATACTACCTTAGTACACAATTTCTCAGTTTCTCTGTAGTCTTTTAACTTCAACTTACAAGCAGCATTGTTCAGATTGGAGGCAACCTTCAAGGTCCTGGCCAGCTTTTTCTCCTCCTCACTAAAGGCGGAGTCATACTCGATGTACTTCACAGCCTGCGGTAAGGTTTCAGTAACAAACTATGTCTCAAAAGAAACATCAACATAAGAGTGAACAAATGTATATAATTTAACTTAAATTACCTTTTCATATCTTTTGGAAGCTCTTGCATATTTACCAGCTTTGAACAACGCATTCCCTTCTTCTTTCTTCTTACCAGCTCCTTCAATTTTCTCTTGAGTGTTCATATCCCAGGACTCCTTCTCCTAAAAGAAGGAAAGATATAGGATTACTAGATATGAAACTGCCAAAATATAAAAATCAAAACATGAAAATGGACAATCGTGTAACTGCATAGAGAAAGGGAAGTGTCAACATAGCAAAAATAAGATTCTATAACACTATTCTCATTTCATAGTGTGCCAAAAACAGTAATTTTATAAATAAAAAAATTCCATTTGTGCAACTACATAGCAAATAGACTTGAAGAAGGTTAAGTTAGATTTGAATTGTAACAAATGACAAGAAACATAACTAAGGTACAGATATGAACTTTAGATGCTCAAACTGAATGTGGAGATGGCACAGTAAGATACACAAAGCAAGTACAGAAAAGAAAAAATGAAGGTAAAACTATGAACTTTTGATAATCAAATTGAATGGGTACATGGCCCAGTTAGATACAAAAAGCAGGTACAGAAATGAACAATAAATCAACTGGAAATTTGTGGGCAAAACGTAGTGTCATCTTGCTTGCTGTCTGATAAGACCCCGCCTAAATGGAAAGTGTATAGAAGGAAGAATATACTAATAATTTGTGTCGTGCATATACTAATAAGGTGATGCGTGTGCATGCTGAGTCTGCAGGGGTAAATGGAGTGGAAGGCGTGAAACGTGACGTGGTTAACAATTCCGTTGGAGGAAAGCATACGAAAATGCACAACGCACTTGGGAGTGCACACGAGGGGCATATTAGTGAGGAAAGCAGGCATGCTGAAGGGGATCTGGGAATTGGGCAATTTGGGCACCATTTGGTGAATTGGGAGGGATCTGGAGCTCTCCAAGTCTTCTGGCCTATCTTACTGTTTCTTGCTATTATTTCCTTTATATTTGATTATTGTTTTTTTATTAAAGATGTATCTGTAACAGAATTATACAGAATTGGGAGGAGCATACAGATTATATGATAATATACGTGTTGATATTTTTTGATTATTTGTTGTTTGCTGGTTGAGATCTATTGATCCCTTACAACTGGTATCAAAGCTCCCGACCTGGGGGATTTGAACGGCAATGACGCGAAATATGGAGACGAGATTTGAAGCTGTAGAAGAACATGTGGGACGACCGAAGGAAGGGATTCGACGAGTTGAAACGGGACAAGTGGAATTGCAACGGAGCATGGCAGATATAATGACAATGTTGCATAATTTGACACAGGATCGTGAAAATCGACGATCAAGGAGCAGAGATAGAGATGAAGGTGGGGAAGTCACAACGGAGGAGGCGTAAGAGGTGACAATCGCATAGAACAAGAAAAGAAATTGGAGATCCTATTATATTCAGGTGAAGACATCCAGGACTGGTTGGCATGGGTAGAGCGCTACTTTGAGGTGAATCACATGACCGATTCTAAAAAGCTACCAGCGGTGACGATCGTGCTAGAAGGGGAAGCTCTTCATTGGTATCAATGGTGGGAAAGAACCACTCGGGAGACAACATGAGAGTCATTCCGAACGGATGTTGTTGGGCGATTTCGTCCTGAATTGATCGGAGATCCTTTCCAGGAACTCTTCTGACTCAAACAAACTGGATCAATTCAAGAGTACCGTCGAGATTTTGAACGGATCAGTAGCACAGTACGAAATGTGGATGAAGTATTTTTGAAGGGAATATGGTTGAATGGAGTCTCTGATGCTATCAAGGAAGAATTGTTGATAAGACCCAACGATTGGTTGGAGAAGATGATGAAAAAGGCACAGAGAATCAAGAGTAGGAACTTAGCTCTCACGAACGTGGTGGTGGGGAGCAACAGGCCTAACCGCAGTAATGGGCCTTCCTACAATTCACAAGCCCGAACATCCACTCCACACAATTCTAGTGTGAGTGTGGGCTATGCGCACACGAGGTCCATTAATAGCAACAATTTTAAGAGTAACAGTTCTACAACTTCGAATCACACTGATGGCACGCGAAATAAAGGGCAAAATTGGGGCAAAGAGAATGAGTGTTGGAGGAGGAAATCAATGTGGCGACTCTAGCAGCGGGAATAGCCGGAAAACTAGCCCGCATTTAACTCAGGGGGAACTACAAGAAAGGTCGCACATAAGGTTATGTTTCCATTGTGAAGAACGGTGGAGTCCAACGCATTGTTGTAAGGCGTCGTCGCTGCTCGTCAAAGACAATGAAGAGGAGGGAGAGAGTGGAGGACCAGGCAATACAATCGATGGAGTACTAAGGCTATCATCGAGCAAAACCATGCGAATGTGGGGGGAAATTAACAGAACCCAAGTGATTGTTTTGATAGACTGTGGAGCTTCACATAATTTTATCAAGAACACTATTGTGTATGCGCTGAACTTGGCTGTGACGGATAACCCTAAATATCAAGTGGAAGTGGGCAACGATGAATTGCTGAATTGTCAGGGGGTTTGTAAGAGGGTGAAGATGGCAATACAAGAAGCATTAATTGAGGAAGATTTCTATCTTTTCAATTTAGGAGGAGTGGATGTAGTGTTGGGGTCAGATTAGTTGCAGGGGTTAGGAAATATCAGAGTTAATTGCAGAGATTTAACTTTGAGTTTTGTTAAGAATGGCAGGGAAGTGGTAAACAAGGTAGAACCAGATTTATCCAGGGCAATTGCTTCTTTTAAATCATTGGTCAAGGCTTTGGCAGATGAGGGTCAAGGTTTTTGATCACCGAAGGAAAAGAACCACTGGAGCTAAGACGTAAAAAGGTGAGTGGTCGAAGCTGATGGAGACGTCGGAGGAATTCGCAGAGGTTTTCAATGCAGTCTTACCTTTTCCTCCTACTAGGAGATAGAACCATGCCATAGTTTTACAACAAGGGAGTGAAGTTCCAAATATCTGTCCCTATAGGTACCCCCACTATCAGAAGTCAGAAATTGAAAAGGCAGTAGCTGAATTGTTACAATCAGGGTTCATTCAACCTAGTACAAGTCCCTTCTCAATTCCGGCGATATTAGTTAAGAAAAAAGATGGGAGTTGGTGTGTGTGTGGATTATAGGGCTTTGAATAAAATCACTGTCCCGGATAAATTCCCTATGCTAGTGATTGAGGAGTTATTGAATGAACTATGTGGGGCAGCAGTTTTCTCAAAACTGGATCTAAAGTCTGGTTACAATCAAATTAGAATGGAGGAAGACATCGTTAAAACTACTTTTCGCACTCATGAGGGGCACTATGAATACTAGGTTATGCCTTTAGGTTAAACTATCGCACCATCCACATTTCAAGCATTGATGAGAGAGATTTTAAAGCCTTTTCTTCGTAAGTTTGTACTGATTTTATTTTTATGACATATTAATTTAAAGTAGAGACAGGGAGCTGCATTTGGTACATGTGCGCGCAGCGTTGGAGGTGTTGAGACAACATCAGTTATTTGAAAACGGAAAAAAATGCTCTTTTGGGAGTTACCAGGTGGAGTATTTGGGACATATTTTAACAAGGGAAGGAGTTCAGGCAGATTCGAGCAAGATTATAGCAATGCAACAATGGCCAACACCTAAAAACATCAAGGGGTTACGGGGATTCCTTGGATTGACAGGATATTATAGAACATTTGTCGAGCGGTATGGGAAAAGTGCAAAACCATTAACAGATCTACTGAAAAAGAATGCATTTGGGTGGAACTAGGCGGCACAGAAAGCTTTTGATATGTTGAAACAGAAGATGTGTGAATTACCTACATTGGCGTTACCCGATTTTGACAAGCCATTTATGGTAGTCACGGACGCCTCGAGAAAATGAATTGGGGAAGTACTCATGCAAGAAGGAAGGCCTTTGGCTTTTGTAAGTCAAGCTTTTTCATTGACGGCTCAAGGAAAATCCGTGTATGAAAAAGAATTAATGGCTATAGCTTTTGCAATTCAAAAGTGGAGACCGTATTTGTTGGGCAGACATTTCATTGTTCGCACCTACCAAAGAAGTTTACGCTTTCTTATTTTCTTATGGAGCAGAGGATATTATGGTCTCCAAATTGTTAGGCTATGATTTTGAGGTACAATACCATCCATGAAAGGAAAACGTAGTGGCAGATGCATTGTCTCGTCAAATGTTGTTTGCTGCCATGTCCACGGTGGCGTTACCTTTATTGGACAAACTGGAACAGGAGCAACAATCTCATTCGGTTTTGAAAAATATTATACATGGTCTATTATCAGGAGGTGGGAATTTTGGGGATTATACACTGGTGAATGGCAAGCTATTGTACAAGGGCTGTTTGATTATTCCTTCAAGTTCTGCTCTAATTCCATTGTTATTGAAAGAATATCATGCCTCACCTATTAGAAGTCACTCTGGTTTTTTTCATACATATAAACATTTGGCTGGATTGGTGTACTAGAGGGGAATGAAGAGAGATATAAAAAACTATGTTGTGGCCTGTAGTGTGTGCCAAACCAGCAAATCTATGGCTCTATCACCTGCGGGCCTCCTTCAACCTTTGCTAATTCCTACACAAGTGTGGGCCTCCTTCATAGATTTTATTGGAGGATTACTGAAGTAGGTGGATCAGATACTATCTTTGTCGTGGTTGATCGTTTATCCAAATATGTTCACTTTATTCCTCTATGTCATCCTTATACAGCTCAAAATGTAGCGATTCAATTTATCAAAAATGTGGTAAAGTTGCATGGTTTCCCTCTGTATAGTTTCTGATCGGGATAGAGTCTTTCTCAGCCATTTTTGGACAGAATTGTTTAAGCAGGCAGGCACGCAATTAAAGTATAGTAGTGCTTATCACCCCCAAACCAATGGCCAAACAAAAATCATCAACAAATGTTTGGAGACATTTTTGCATTGTTTCTGTCATCCTAAACCGCAATAGTGGCACTTAAGGTTGCATTGGGCTGAATATTGGTACAACACCAACTATAAAAGTTCCTCTGGCATGACTCCTTTTAAGGTGTTATATGGGTGTGAACCACCAACTCTGTTTCGTGCTGGCTATGTGTCTCCAATAGCAGAAGTGGATGTTTTGATGCAAGAGAAGGATGTTGTTTTGCAAGAGCTGCGAGATCAGCTTAGCAATGCCCAGAATAGAATGAAACAGGCAATTGGTAAACACCGGAGGGATGTGCAGTTTGTGGAGGGAGACAAGGTGTATTTGAAGATTCAACCTTATCGGTTGAAATCTTTGGCATGACGATTCAATGAGAAATTAAGCCCCATTAATATGGTCTGTACACGGTGTTGGAGAAAATTGGTAAGGTGGCTTATAAATTAGATTTTCCCGTGACTTGTTCTTTACACCCAGTTTTTCATGTGTCACTTTTAAAAAAGGCAGTGGCACCATCTCAACAGGTTCAACCTATTCCGGATATGTTACAAGAGAATTGGGAGTTGAAAGTAATTCCTAAAGTTGTTCTCCAGTGGCGTCATACATTGCATGGCACTGTGGAAGTACTTATTAAATGGGCACAGCTGCCAGATTGTGATAATACTTGGGATCGTTTACTATCTACCAACAATTTCTGAATTTCCACCTTGAGGACAAGGTGTGTTTATTTGGGAGGGGGGGAGTATTGATAAGACCCCACCTAAACGGAAAGTGTATAGAAGGAAGAATATTTGTGCCAATACTAATAAGGTGATGTGTGTACATGCTGAGTCAGCAAGGGTAAATGGAGTGGAAGGCGTGACATGTGAGGTGTTAACAATTCTATTGGAGGAGAGCATACGGAAATGCAGGACACACTTGGGAGTGCACACGAGGGGCATATTAGTGAGGAAAGCGCGCATGCAGAAGGGGTCTGGGAATTGGGCAATTTGGGCACCATTTGGTGAATTGGGAGGGATCAGGAGTTCTTTAAGTCTTCTGGGCTATCTCATTGTTTCTTGCTATTATTTCCTTTATATTTGATTACTTTTTTTATTAAAGATGTATCTGTAACAGAATTATACAGAATTGGGAAGAGTATACAGATTATATGATAATATACATGTTGATATTTTCTGATTATTTGTTGTTTGCTGGTTGAGATCTATTGATCCCTTACACTGTCCAATCATGGTCAGCCCCAAGCATCTTACTGTCTAGTTAAGGCGGTAAAGTTGTTGCTTTTTAATAAGAAATGCAGATTTTCTTTTTACCAAAATTTAAACAAATAAAATCAAAGCACAACTTCAATACATTATTCTGTTATAAACTTACCTTCTCAAATGACACTAGCTCAACTTCATAATACACGGTTGAATTAGGAGGAATCACAGCCAACTCTTGCTGGGACTCTGATGAACCAAAAGCATACTCAGGCGCAATAGTCAATAATGCGACCTCACCCTTCTTCATAGTCAATATAGCTCTATCAAGTCCATCAACGACTTGCTCTGTTTAACCACATAAAACATTCACTTTACTTAAACCCCCCAAAAAAATAGTGGATGCAGAGGAATGAGGCAAAAACTATGTAACACTGGCAGATTTAAAGTTACCCTCATCTGTTTTGAATTCAAAGAGCTTCTCTTCTTCATCGTGGCCCTTTTTCAAAAAGACAGTACCATCTTGCAGCTTACCAATCAATTTCACTGGTAAGACATAAATTGACAAACAAATTATCAGAAAGAACACATAAATAAAGCAATCGTTGCAATAAACTAATTACCACAATAACTAGTGCTCACAATTCACAATGGCCCCCTCATTTGGACGTTCAAATCCTTCCCCTTCCTTGAGGATCTTCTTCATGACCTTCTTATCATCAGTTACTTCTGAAACAGTCTTCCAAGAGACTAACTCAAGAGTGATCTGCAATGTCGCATTTGGTGGAACTGCACCTTCATCACCATGCGCTGGCTTCCCCTTCTCACCAAATCCATCTATGACCCAATAAAGGATAAACGAATAAAAACTATGAATTAAAACAAATAATCAAAGGAAATTACATGAAGGCATTCTGTGAACAACTCACATTGTGGCTTTACTGTCAAAATCACCTTCTCTCCCTTCTTCATGGTTTTAAGAGCTTTTGAAAACGCAGGACAATAATGACCTATCATTGATAAAACATTAACTTCAAATACCTAGAAAAAAAATAAATAAATAAATAAACGTTCAACAAAGTTATTGTCACTGACCCTCTCTGAGGGTGAATTCCACTCCATCAGACTTTGCTACAAGCTTTCCATCTTCAAGTCGAACTTCATACTTAACTGCATTACCAACAAGCACAATAATAAATTTCTTTAGTATTTATCATTTTATAATAAAATATAGTGAGCCCGTGAAGAAGCATCTCAATCTAAAAGCTTAACAGTTAAGTGAAGGCTTTTCTAACTTGAAAGCTGAACGATACATCATGCCCATATCTCGACCAAGAAACTTCACAATATTTAATTATTTATTACAAGATTAAGCTTAAACTATTAAGTAAGTCCCGATAATGCATCATGCTCGAGGCTATGATAATATAACTCACCTAAAATATTAAGTTATGGCCATTTTAATGGTTTTATAGTGTCTATAATAGTGAGCTTTACTACACAATTGTAACACGTGAAGACTCGTCTACTAATCTTAAATGATTCATCTATTAAAGTTTTTTTTTTTTTTAAAAAAAAAAAAAAATTCAAGTGACCTATGGAAATCTTATAAAAAGATATGAAGTAATAATATATATTTATATACCGAACACTTCATCAAGATCCTTAGGGTTCTCCCATTTGTCTCCTTCAATGATTATCTTCTTAAATATACCACCATCCTTAGATATGTCCTTGACACTAGTCCAAGAGAGAAGCTCAACATCGAATTGAAGCGTCGCATTTGGAGGAATAATTGGAGGTGAACCAGATTCACCATAAGCTAGCTCAGGAGGAATCGTGAAAATCGCATTTTCATCTTTCTTCATCGTTTTTATACCTTCGTCCCATCCTTTAATCACTTGCCCTGCAAATCCAACACCTCACTCACAGATTCACCAAATGAAATCAAATTAAAAAAAAAAAAAAAGAGAGAGCAAAATGACGTTATTGACCTTGTCCTAGCGTGAACGTGAAAGGTGTATCCCTGTCGCGGCTCGAGTCAAACTTAGTCCCATCGAGCAAAGTTCCAGTGTAGTGAACTGTGAAATCAAAAAAACAAAAAAACAAAAACAAAAACAAAAAAAATCAGAGTCGAGAATCGAAGCTGAAAAACGACGTCGTTGTTGTTGTTTTGGTTGTTGTTGTAGTACCTTGGACTTCGTCGCCTACATCGGGGGTTTCCCAGCCTTGACCTTGTTTGAGGAGCTTCTTCTTCAGGCCGTTGATGCCGATCTGTTTCTCCTCGCCGATCTTGTCGACGGGGAGATCGAAATCCTCGTTCATCTCATCGGCTTGGGGAATGTCGAAGTCTTCCTCCATCGCTTCCGTATTTTTCAACAATCGAACACACACAACGGAAATGAATAAGAGAGGGCTTAATAATAGAAAGAGGGTTTTTAGTTTTTTGGGGTTACAAGAAAGAGGGTTTTAAATTCGTGGTTAAAGAGAGCGGTTCTAGAGAGTTCCACGGGAAAGGAAGGGTTTACCAATACACACTAGAGTGAGAAAGTGTTTTGAGAGCGATTGACCAGCGATTAAGGGAACAAAACTTTAGAGTAGAAGAGCTCATAGTATAACATTTGATTAAATTCTAACAGCGTTTGGTATGGTATTGTATAAAATTATATCCTCCAATATTTTAAAAATTAATATATTAAAAAAAATTATTTTAATATATAAATATTGAAATGATATATTAATTCTTGGAAATTGTACTTGTAAGCAATATAATACATCAACCCCTTATCATGCTTAATCCACCACTCCTAGGTTTGATTAAGTTATACATCATTTTGATGTATAAGGGGATCCTGCTGTATAAGCTTATACAATACGATAGTCACACCAAACAATTGAAAATGTCATAACGTATACTGCTTATACTATCATGCCTTGTACATCACACCAAACAGACCCTTAGAGTGCATAGTGTATTCCTATTTCATTTTTGGAAAATACTACTCTCATTTTATATGAGATAGTCATCTCATTTTCTCTCACATCAAAAATCGCACCTCTTCTTTTTTTCTTTTTTTCTTTCTTTCTTTTTTGCTTTTTAATGGTGGACCCCACTTGAATTTTCTCTATGGCATGAGAGAACTATTCTCATGTAACATGAGAGTAATATTCCCCTTCATTTTTATTAGTCCTAGTGTATCACAGTATCACTTGTGCTTTGCACAGAGAGAAAAAAACTAGTTTGTTTATCAGTTAAAAGATAATGTAAATTGTAAAAGTATATCACTGCATTTTAGCTTGTCTAGTAGTCATTTAGAAATTACATAGTTTGACTATGTTTCTTTAAGTATTTATCAGAGATAAACTTTCATTTATCACAATTTAATTATTCATTTTGTTTAGATTCTTGTTTATGAAATTTTTATAGTAGTAAATCCAATGATCATAGTCATACAAAGACAAGGTTGTTTGACAATAAATTAAAAAAAAAATGAAAAAGTGTAGGGGGTGGGGTGGCCCACTGGGGCGATCCCATTTTGCCATCTCTAACTGTCAACATTTTATATCAGCGTGTAATAGATTTTTATATTAATACACACAAAAATATGTTCTTATAGTTGCGTCTAGATTATTATCTATCTATGTTTTTTATAGTTGCCACTAAATCGATTCTCCAAGGTGTGTGTATTTGTGACATATATATTAGATGAAGAGTTGATAAGTATTTGAGTTATTACGTTTAATATTTTAAAAAATACTTAGCCACACAAATACGGGTTTGACATACAGTAAATATATAGGGTGACAATGTGATGGCGGAGGGTGGGGTTTGCCCTCCGGGCCGAGCCCATTTTGCCACCTCTAACTGTCAGCATTTAATATTAGCATGTAATAAGTTTTTATATTTATCCACACACAAAAAATTCTTATAGTTGCGTTTAGATTACTATCTATCTATGTTTTCAATAGTTGTCTCTAAAATCAAATGAAGTGTGTGTATATGTGACATATATATTAGACGATGGCAAATATTTGAGTTATTACGTTTAATATTCTAACAAACACTTAGCCACACAAAGAAAGGTTTATTAGAAAATAAATATAAGACAAAAAATATGTTGGCAGGCCTGCCCTCCGAGCCGAGCCCCCATTTGTTTAGATGCTTATTCTTGAAATGTTTACAGCAATAAATTCAATTATCTTAGCCACACAAAGACTAATTTGTTATACGGTAAATAAAATTAAATAAAATATGTTTGTGGGCCTGGTGGGCCAGCCCTCAGGGCCGAACCCATTTTTCCACCTCTAATTGTCAGCGCTTCATATCATAATGTAATAAGTTTTTATATTTATCCATAAAAAAGGTTCTTATAATTGCGTCTAAATTACTATCTATCTACGATTTTTATAGTTGCATCTAAATCAACTTTTCTGAACTGTGTGTATTTTTCAACACATATATATTAGATGAAGCGTTGACAAATATTTGAGTTATTACGTTTAATATTCTAAAAAGCACTTAGCTACACAAAGACGAGTTTGTTAGACAGTAAATATAAGAAAAAAAGTGTTGGCTAGCGGGATAGGCCGACCTTCCCGGTCGAACCCCATTTTGTTTAAATGCTTGTTTCTGAAATATTTACAGTAGTAACTCAAATGATTTTAGCCACACAAAGACGAATTTGTTAGACACTAAATAAAATAAAAAACATGTTGGCGAGTGGGATAGCTGGCCCTCCCGGCCGAGCCTATTTTGCCACCTCTAACTATCAGCATTTTATTTCAGCATGTAATAGGTTTTTATATTTATCCACACAAAAAAAAAGTTCTTATAATTGCGTCTAGATTATTATCTATCTATGTTTTCTATAGTTGTCTCTAAAATCAAGTGAAATGTGTGTATTTGTGACATATATATTAGATGAAGAGTTGGCAAATATTTAAGTTATTACGTTTAATATTCTAACAAACACTTGGTCACACAAAGACGGGTTTGTTAAATAGTAAATATAAAAAAATTGTACTAAAGACAAAATATAAGGAAAAAAATATGTTGGCGGGCGAAGTGGCACCTCTAACTGTCAATATTTTATATCAGCATGTAATAGGTTTTTATATTTGAAAACAATAAATTATGCGAGATTTATATTTTAAAGTCACATAAATTTTTTAAAAAAATTAAATATAATTATAAGTGTAATTTTACTTGGGTTTTAAGTATATATATTCAATTCTTTCGTTTTACTTTCGAAAGAATTGGATGATATTACTCCACAATTTGATATCATGACTAATTCTTTTTATTGTAAGTGTAATAACAGCACCGGTTAAAAAAAATAAAAACAAAACCTCCTTCCGTTTGTTTTGGACAAAAATTTAAATAACATTAAATATTTTTTATTTTCAAGAAACATCAATAGTTCAATACTATATTTTATTTACTAATATTATTTTATTATACTTAATTAAAATACTAAAGAATTTAAAAATTATAAGTTATGTGTGATTTATATTTTAAAGTCACATATAATTTAAAAAAAAATGAAATATAATTATAATTTAAAACTATATATATATATATATACATATTTTGCCTTTTGTTTTTTTTAATTATTTTAACCAATTTATTTGGATATTCTAAAACAATATTGTAATTTATTAAATGTACCTATATATTTATATAATGCAAGATTTAATCATTAATACATCCAAAATTTATTTCCTTTATATATAGGTTTATTAAAATTTAATTTTAGCACCTTAAATTTTTATTATAAATTAACTACTTTATATGTGTAATTGTAACACCCTGTAGTACTCCGGTTGTTACCATCATGATATTATAGCGTACACAGCGGAGGATTTTATTAAATAATTAAAGAGACGTCTTGTAAAAATACGAAAAAACTTTTTCCAAAACATTTTCTAAAAGCATTTCTAAAAACGTTTACATGAGATATTGCGAAAGCGTAAAACTAAAACATACATCTACTAATTAATCTCATTAGCCAGTATTAGTGGCTATTGACTAACCCGATATGACCACAAGTGTCATTCCTGCCACAGTCTCACGGACAGCATAACGGCTCTTTAACGGATAACTGAGAGATAAGAATCTCACACACAATCACACCTGATAAACACAGTTAAATAACAGACAACTTGCAAGTCCCACACGGACTGTAATCCCATCAATGGTCAGTACATACATAATGGCTCTGTGCCCAAATTAACAAATCCATACATCATGTCTTTCTGTACTCCATGCATCTAACATGACTCATAATACATACATCCATAATCCAAAGGCTCAAATAATAATAATCCTGAGCATTATTACATACTTCAACAGAGTCTCAAAATACGCTAACTAGGCATATCAAAACACTAAACATGCCACATAACAACATAACAACATAAAAATAAACAGTAGCCTTAATCCACTAATTCGTAGTTGGGCCCTTGCCTTTAGACTGCACACTTAAAGGTGACAATATGAGTTGAACCCGACGGGTCAACCTACCAACCCGCCAAAATGGGGCGGGTTGGGTTACACATTTCAACCCACCAACCCGCCCCATTTAGTAGTGGGTCAAAATGGGTTGGTGGCAGGTCGTGGCGGATTGGCTCGCGGTTAGTTTTTTTTTATTATTAGATATTATTTTATTTGTCACTAAGCTTTTGTGATATACATTTTTTTTTATTTCAGTACTCCCCTAGAAAAATAAAGAAAAAAACTTTATTTATGACAAAGATTATCCTTATATAGAGGGAAAAATAAGTTCCTAAAAAATATCTGACGGAATATTAACCTATATTTAGGCTTGAGATTGAAAAAAAAATTAAGGGGAGTGTGAAATAAAAATAAGTAATATTATAAAATTAATAAAATATAATTTATTATCATTTTTTAATTATTTTTTGTTTTTTAGGCAGGTTGACCCGCCAACCCACCTCAAAACGGGGTGGGTTAATGTCTCTAACCCACCATCAATCGGCGGGTCAACCCGCCCCGCCCCGCTTTTGGCGGGTTGAAAGCGGGTCGGGGCGAGTTGGCCCATTTTGCCACCTCTATGCACACTACTACCATGAATACCTGGAATGATGTCCCCAAAAAGGGGTGAGATAACAACATCTCAGTAAGCTGAAGGTTCTTAGAGGATCCTCTAATCTCCTGAGCCCACTTCCTGCATGACAGTCAGATATAAAACATATATAATAAACATTCAGCATAAACATAGCATCATACATCATCCTCTAGTTAACTATTCAAGGGCTCTCCCCAAGAATAGCTAACTGACATGTCCAACATGCCTAGTGTGACTTCCAGGGTCAACCCATAGACAGTCAACACAAATAGTAGTATGAAATAACTCCCAAGGTCAAGCCATAAGCAGCCTACATACATATTCACTGGCCAGGAACCTCGTACCATACATCATCAGTGCATCATCATAATATCAATAATCATATAATATCTATA